ATCTGACACACAGATAGAATCATCTGAGTTTAGTTTATTTCGTTTTCAAGGTTATTTTAAATAATTAAATAAATACTGTGAATTTGACAGACATACGCAATTACATATGTATTTAAAGTCACATTTATAGATGCAAATACATATCGTGTGCCAAGGCGAATTAATATTCGCCTTGTCGTGTGCAAAGCTTTTGTAAGGGAGTGTCAAAACTCTAATGTCAATAATGAGCAAACCAAGGCGAATTTATAGGTGCAATCCCGTATTCCTCGGACTCGGACTAGTAAAACTGTCAAAAAATAAAAATTCACTCAGAGCGAGAGAGTAACATTGAAAAGTACGGGATCGCTTTCTAGTAAAAAATGGTAACTTCTGTCAACTTCAACATAACCTCCAAATTTTGGTTGTAAATTTTTGCTTATTTTGTATGTAAACACACTCTGTTCACACATGTTAATAACCAAAAATACTTTCAAATTCATTAGAATTCACTTAAACAAGTAATTAAATACTTTTCAACATGAATTAGCAGAGTGCACTTTTCTTTTGTTTACAATTTGGTTGCCAAACACACTNAATTTACCAGCAAAAAATTCTCGGACTAAAACTGGTAACTTCTGACAGAGAGATAACCGTATTTATTCTCTTTTTTGTCCTCTCAATAGTCAGAGAACCGAGTACGGGATCGATTTCCAGTAAAATCTGACTGATTCTGACTATTTATGACTAGTCCGGACTCGTACGGGATCGCAACTTATATAAGGGCTTAGTGACCCGTGCTAACTCGCTGGTGGGAGTTTGATCTACGCTGCAATGGACACTTTTGTAGAACGTTCCATTCTTAAGAAAACTCATCGTTGACCATGATTATATCATAAAAGGCCTCTGAGCTATAGAATTTTGAAGAAAAACAATCAAAGTTTACGTGAATTTTATATGGGAATTCTTTGCACGCTTTGGGCGCATACCTAATGTTAATATAAAGGGTTCAAATTTTCAGGGAGTTTTTTTTTTAGGTGTTTTGCACAAAATTTCGAGGTAGGAAAAAAAACAACAGTCGCAAAAAAAAAGCACCCTAATGTACTTACATACGTCTGTATCTAATGCCTTCATGCAAATAATTTCAATTGAAATAAAGCTCCATTTTTTCCCCATAGGAACACCGAACAGAGATCGATGCACGTGCCGGAACATTTGCTGCCTTCGAACAGTTTGGCAATGAACTTTTACAGGCCAATCACTATGCTTCACCCGAGATCAAGGAGAAGATCGAGGATCTAGCCAAGACGCGTGAGGAGTTGGAAAAAGCATGGACTGCTCGTCGTTTGCAGCTTGAGCAAAATTTGGACCTGCAATTATATATGCGCGATTGCGAGCTAGCTGAGTCATGGATGTCGGCACGTGAAGCCTTCCTTAATGCCGATGATGTCGACAATAAGGGCGATAATGTCGAAGCTTTGATCAAAAAGCACGAAGATTTCGATAAGGCCATCAATGGGCACGAGGAGAAAATAGCCGCTTTGCAAGTTTTGGCTGATACTTTAATCAATCAAAACCACTACGCATCCAATCTGATTGACGATAAGAGGAAGCAGGTGTTAGAGCGCTGGCGTCACCTGAAGGAGGGTTTAATTGAGAAACGTTCTCGATTGGGTGATGAGCAGACATTGCAGCAATTCTCTCGGGATGCTGATGAAATCGAGAACTGGATCGCTGAGAAGTTGCAACTCGCTACGGAAGAGAGCTATAAAGATCCAGCCAATATTCAATCGAAACACCAAAAGCATCAGGCCTTCGAGGCTGAATTGGCCGCCAACGCAGATCGCATTCAGAGTGTTTTAGCAATGGGTGAAAACCTCATTGATAAGAAACAGTGCAGCGGCTCGGAAGATGCTGTTCAAAAGCGTCTCACCCAAATTGCCGATCAGTGGGAATATCTCACACACAAAACCACAGAGAAGTCGCTGAAATTAAAGGAAGCAAACAAACAGCGCACTTACATCGCTGCTGTCAAGGACTTGGACTTCTGGTTGGGCGAGGTCGAAAGCTTGCTCACCACTGAGGATTCTGGTAAGGATTTGGCGTCAGTCCAAAACCTCATGAAGAAGCATCAGTTGGTAGAGGCGGATATCGTGGCACACGAAGACCGCATCAAGGACATGAACAACCAGGCCGATTCCTTGGTTGACAGCGGTCAGTTTGATAGTGCTGGCATTCAGGAGAAACGTCAAAGCATCAATGAGCGCTATGAACGCATCTGTAATTTGGCTGCACACCGCCAGGCTCGCTTGAACGAAGCACTAACGTTGCATCAATTCTTCCGCGATATTGCCGATGAAGAAAGTTGGATAAAAGAAAAGAAATTGCTGGTTGGCTCAGATGACTATGGTCGCGATTTGACTGGTGTTCAAAACCTAAAAAAGAAACATAAGCGCCTCGAGGCCGAGTTGGCATCACACGAGCCGGCAATCCAGGCCGTGCAAGAAGCGGGTGAGAAGTTAATGGACGTTTCTAATTTGGGTGTTCCCGAGATCGAACAGCGTCTGAAGGCCTTGAATCAGGCTTGGGCCGAGCTCAAGAACTTGGCAGCAACACGCGGTCAGAAACTAGATGAATCCCTTATATATCAACAATTTTTAGCCCAAGTAGAGGAAGAGGAAGCATGGATAACAGAGAAGCAACAATTACTCTCAGTTGATGACTATGGTGATTCTATGGCTGCTGTGCAAGGACTTTTGAAGAAGCACGACGCATTTGAAACCGACTTTGCAGCCCACAAAGATCGGTGCTCGTTGATATGTGACCAAGGATCTGAATTGGTGGAAGCTAAAAACCACCACGGTGACTCTATCGCGCAACGTTGCCAGCAACTGCGCAGCAAGCTTGAAAACTTGAATGCATTGGCTGCTCGTCGCAAGGGTGCCCTCTTGGACAATTCTGCCTATTTGCAATTCATGTGGAAGGCTGATGTGGTCGAAAGCTGGATCGCCGATAAAGAGAACTACGTGCGTTCCGATGAATACGGCCGCGACCTTTCAACCGTTCAAACTCTGTTGACCAAACAAGAGACATTTGACGCTGGTAGGTAAAAAAAAAAAACGCACACAACAATTTTTGTAAACGATGCTGCGCTTACCTAACGTCGTGACTAATNACTGCGAAAGGAGTTTGCAAAACATGCCAATCTATTCCATACGTGGCTCACCGAAACAAGGTAATTATATAAGTATTTCTTTACAGGGGTTTCTAAGGCAAATATATGTACTTGAAATACTAATATTATGTCCCCACCAAAGAGCTAACCATCTCAAATCGAACTTAACCACATCACTAACTATTGCTGTCCACACTGCGGTTTGAAGTTTATAAAACAGTTCAAATGTAGAGAACAGTGTTCGGACCTCCAAAACTCGATTCAGGACTGAATCGCTGCAAAAATCGGAGCAAAAACAAATTTTCCGTACTAGATTAAATTCTTTATTTTCGCGTCTGACATTAATTGTTTGACTTGAATATTTTCTATTCATGCAAAAATAAGAACGCGAACAAAGTAAGGATAATATGTTACATATTTAGGTAATTCTTAGCATTTTCTATAAAGTAGAACGTATCTAACACTTGATTTTTTAAAGAGCAATAGGATCTACACCTTTTCTACTTTATATAAATTTCATTCTACATATATTTTTAAAAACTTAAGTAAAGTTCTGCATCCGCCAATTTCTACAGCCATACATAAAAAAATAACAAAGTTACTTTATTGACGCATTGCTATGAAAGGTTACTTTTCAACAGTGCGATTTGGCTAACTTTCAATTTTTTTTTACTGAAACCGGTGGTGAACACTCAAAAAACAGCCCCAAGAGGGTCATAACATGAATGAAAAAAAAACGGTATCGATTTGAAGTCAAGCGGAGTAGAGGAGTAGATTTCAAACTTTGTTTAAAAACCGGAGTAAATCTTATCTGATCTTCGTAAACTCCGAACACTAGTAGGGAACGAATTTTTTTAAATTTTAACGCTAATGACCCACAGATGGCGGGAAAACACAGGATTGTATCAGACTTTCGACGTGGTTTCGAGTTGGTTAGCTTTTAACCATCTCAGTGAAATGGTTAAGTGCCGTCATTTTTATATGGCGAAACTACGCTTAATGAAGTGGGCTATCGGGATAACCAACTCAACAGCCATAACTACGTGGTTAGGTCCGGTGGGGACATGGTATAAGGGACGAATTCCTAGTGCGTAGTTAACCACTGAAAAGTAAATAACGTCGATGTTTAAATTATGGATTATGTTATAAATGGATTAATAATACCTTTATACATCTACCACACATTCCTGCTGGACTGGTTGTCGCGCGTTTAAGAAGGTGAAAATACTTTCTTACCTTGTTTTCGAAGATACCATTAGAATACTTGCTCAGGACTTTTCAGGATTTTTTACTAGATGTCTGCGGGTCTTATTGAACACCTTCCGCTTTATTTTTAAGGTTTTCTTATTATTTATTTTTTGTTCATTTCGAAATATATGTATGTATATTAGACTCCCCATACCAAAAAAAATCGGTACTGTTTTTCCATTGGAATTATAAAATTTATTATATTTTAAGGATAGTTTCTTAAAGAAGTTTTTAAAAAATTAAAAAAACAAAATTTAACGGAATCGTAATAATGAGATTTCTGATGCTGTCTTACCTTTTTTTAAAGATTGGTATAAGAAAAACATGAATAACTGAACCT